TCTGATGAAAACCTGTTTTTAAACAATCAGAGTCTCCTTCCTCCTCTCTGTGGGATAAAAGTCTGAAAGCTCACCACGGTTTGCTGCTTCCAGCTGTTTAGAACTATTTCCTCTTAAAACCTGCAGCCGGATCCGACCACAGATAATCAAAAAGACATTAGAAAAACTACTGAAAGCAAAAGAGGCACAAATGACTAAAAAAAGTGGCAAAAAAAATACCAGAGACACAAAAACATGACGTCAACTGATGTAAAAAATGCAAAACACGACTGAAGAAACACAAAAGAACCTAAAACGTACAAAAAAATACAACCAAACAAAAACTCTGCCAAAAGAAATCCACAATGTCAGAGAGACAGAACCACAAAACATGACGACAATAAAACAGAAAAGAAACACAAAGACGGTCACAAAAATATGATCAAAATAAGAAAAGATGAATAAAAACCGTCTCATCCACTTCACACAGTTCTACGTCCAAATGGAAATAAAAATAATAAAAATCTAACTTTACTACGATGAAGTCTGTAGCAGCAAAAACTCCACTAACGAATTTAATTCAGGTTTTAATTAACAGAAGATAAAGTTTAATTTGCTGCTTCCAGCTGTTTAGGATCATTTCCTCTTAAAACCTGCAGCAGAAATCCGACCAGAGATAAAGAAAAGAACCTCAAAGACATAAAAAAAAAAATAAATAAATAAAAAATATTACTGTAAAAAAATTTAATAAAGGACCTCAAAGACATAAAAAACATCTAAAAAGAAAAGAAAAACAAAAAGATCATAAAGGTATAAGTTACTACAGAAAAAGACGACAAAAAAGACCAGAAACGCGACAAAATAACTGCAAAAAGATGAAAACAAACAAACAAAAAATATGACTGTAAAGAAACATATAAAGACACAAAAGCATCACAAAGACCGTAAAAAAATAGAAAAAGCAAAAGGACCTTAAAACCAGATGTTACACAATCTGGGACTTGCCAAGATTTCAAATCTTATTTTTAGACACAATCAATAATTTGTCTTGTTTTAAAAGTTATTTACTCATTTTTAGTCCTTGATTTTACAGAACAATCTTAAACTGAGCATTAAAGATTTCTTAGCAAATAAAATGTACCTGCTGCACGAACAGATCATTTCACTGTTTTAAGTCATATTTAGTGTTTATATCTGATATGTGGGCTGCCCCACAAAAAAAAAAAGGGCAAAAAACGACGAAAGAGACACAAAACGACTGCAAAAGGATGCAAAAAACACAAAACATGACTGTAGAGACACACAGAAGAACCACCAGTCACAGTTTAATTTGCTGCTTCCAGCTGATCAGAATCACTTCCTCTGAGTTTATTAAAAACCTGCAGCCGGATCCGACCACAGACCAGAACTTGGAGGTTTACATGAAGCATCGGACCAACAGCAGAGCTTCAGATCCGTCGACTACACCTGATGTCATGTTTACGTGTTGATAAATGTTTAAGGCCAGAATAAAAGCTCCTCAGAGGAGGCTGGATGTTTACGGCTCTCTGAGGACGAGTAAACAGCCCCGAGGGCCGGGAGGGTCCGGCTCGGCCCGATAAACAGAACGCCTACCGTCCCACGGACATCCGTACAGCTCCACCCTCATGCACACGGTGGTGGACAGCTTGGTGACGGGGATGAGGCGGACGTAGCGGGCCACGATGGGCGGGTGGAGGTCGTTGATGACGGAGGCGTAGGCGTTCTTGTTGCCGTCCATCACCTGCACAGAGACACACAGCGAGCTCCTTCAACGCCTACATCCAAAGAAACATCCAGTACCAGCGTTGTTCTGACCACATGTATGTGTTCAGACGTGTGAATCGCTGCTCTGGTGTGAAGCACATTTTAGTTTAAAGTCATCAGACAGCAGTTCAAAGACGAAGAAAACAGCAAAAAACATCCAAAACAACAACAAAGAGACGCAACAGGACCACAAAGACACAAGACGTCCACAACAAAGGCTAGAGAGTGAAATGAAGGAGAAAAGGTTCACAACAAAAACACAAATACGACTGAACAGAGCTACAAGGAACCACAAAGAAGTAAAATATATTAAAAAAACAATCACAAAGACAAACAA